TATTTTATCCTTTTTTTTTTTTTGGAGGAGTCAAATGTTTAGAATTGTTGAATTATTTGATTTTTCGTCAACTTACTTTTGGATTAAATATGATATTTAATTGGCAATGTGGATTACATTTGGTAATATGTTTTTCATTTCTAGCAAAATTTAGTTGGTGTAGATAATCTTGGATGGCGGTGAAAAAAACAAAAGTCTGAAAATAATTTATTGAAAAATATTATTTGTTTTCAATTCATTTGGTACCAGATTTATAAATTGAATCTCAATTTTAAAAATTAGTTAAATATATGTTTACTAATATATTTTAAACTAGTGGTAGTTTTCAACTAAATATTTGATTGAATTATTAAAAAAATGTGTATATATATTTAGTTGAATCTAAATTAATATTAATTAATTTATTAACATTCTTTCTAAAATTTGTTGAATTGTTATTCTACAATATTATATAATTTATTATATATTGTATTTTACATATTTTAATTCTAACAAAAATGAATTAGCTTGTAACATAAAATAATATATTTGTCAACATTTTATCTTTTTAAATTGGTTCACATAATTTAAAAATAGTTTCTAAAAATAATTGAATCCATTTCATTTAGTGAATCTGAACATTAAAAAAAAAAAAAGCCCAATCTGGTTGCACACCCTCCTATTTTTTGTTGATTCGAAGATAAAATTTAAGAAAAATATTTTTTCGATTAACAAAAATTCAAACAATTTTCATAATAACAAATGAAATATAGTTTAATTTGTAAAACATGTCTCAACCACCTACCACCCACATTCCAGGCTAAGCCATTTTTTGAAGGGGCATCAAAATGGCTATATTGTTTCAAATCATGTCTATACTCATAGTTAAGTTTACATTGACTTGAACATAGTATCATATACCTTTTTTCCTGGTCGTAAATTTTTAACTTATCGTCTAGATTATACGAACGTGAGTATTTTCTTACTGCATGCAACCTCCTCAACTCTCCAACGACAAATTTTAATCACAACAATAACTTATAAAAAAAAACTTATAATTTACCTAAACATTTAGCAACATTGAAACCTCTTTTTTAAGTTAATTAATAAAAATCTAACAACCATTTGAAATACTTGATTTTGGTTGAAAATTAAAATTTGTGAGATAGGAACACCATATATTTTTGTTAGTTGAGTAATTACATGATGAAAGGATTGAACTTTCAATTTTCATATAATGATATGTGTCTTGGTCGTTTATTAATAATCGAATTCATCAGGAATAATATTGTACTAATATTATTAAGACTTTTATATATTTTAACTATTTTATAAGTTGTTAAATATCAACAAAATGAATAATATTGTACTAATATTAAATGTTAAAACTTTTATATATTTTAACTATTTTATAAGTTGTTAAATATCAACAAAGTAACAAATATATTGACCATGAACGAATATATATATAATACATACATATACACGTAATTTATATGGCTATCTTGATGATTTTGGAGGGTGTCAACTAAACAATAACATATTTTGTAACTTCTTTTTTGTTTTTTTTTCACTAACATTTTAAAGAAACTAAAACTTTTATATGAAGAGTAATTTTTAAAATTAAATATTTAGATTTTTATGTTATGTTTATTGTGCATTTTATAGGTAACAAAATGATAAAATAACGCTTTTATTTATGTTTTGAAAAATTTTGGAAATGGGAAGAAACAATAATTTTAATTTTTGTTGTTTTCAAAATTTATACACAATTTTAGAATTTTGGAAACGATTCTTAAACTTAAGAAACAATTATCAAGTACTTATCCATGCTAATATTTTAGAATTTAAAACTAATTTGGTCTGTTTTTTTTAAGTTAAATTATATTTTTAGTTATTGTTTAGCATTTTTGTCTTTATAAATCTTCTTGCCGTGACTTAATTAGGGTCCATTTAGAAATTAGATTTATTTTTTTATTTTTTTCTACGGGATATTCCAACTTGAGAATATATGTCAATAAAGAATAACACAAATACGAAATAATTTTCAAAAATAGTTTATAGTGGTTCCAGAAAAAAAAAGGTTTTTAGTGGAAAACAGAGCCCGGTAATCTTTTTTTCGTGTCTTTTCTTTAACGCTTTGTTGAATTTACTAATCATTAAAAAAATCAGAATATAACCTGAACCAATTAATAAACTTTTATTATTTTGTAATCTTTTTTTTTAAAATACTTATGCGTACAAAAGCATCTGTATAAATATAAGATGGATTTTTATAATAATTATTAAGAAAATAGTTCATAAAAAATAAAAGAATATATATATTCCGATATTCATCTATAGAGACAAATAATAATAATAATAATAATAATAATAATAATAATAATAATAATAATAAGGCTTGCAATACGCGTCAATTGAGTTTTATACTAGATCTCAAAATTAAAAATAAAATAAAATAAATTAAACCAGTTGTAATAAAATGAGAAAAGTCATTTTTTTAATAATAATAGATTTTCAAGTCAATTTAGAATAAATCTTCAATTTAATGATTTAACTGGCCATGAGTCACGTGGCGCTTCCAAGTTCCAAACTTCCAACCAATCCAACACGCCGTTGTCTGACCCCTTTTTTCTTCAAAAAAAAAAAAAAAATCAAATTTCATTGATGCACTTTGTTGAATGAATAATTTTTAACGTTAAAGTTCTAATTTTATCGAATTAAGTTTAAAAGTTGAATAAATAATGAAAGTAACATTTTTTTTAAAGTCATATCGAAAACATCAATACATAATCATACCGATACAAATTGTTGAAATCATACCCAAACTTGACATTGAAACGTACGAACTTAACCGAAAAAAAAAAAGTCCACAATAGTTGTTGTAAGGACAAACACCTTATCTCAACCGTGCTTTCGTTTAATGCACGAGTCTTTTGTTTAGTGGCCTATTTGGATAATGATTTAGAGCCTATGAACTTCACTTTCTGTGTTTTTTTTTCCCTTTTTGAAACATGTTTTTTAGTTGAAGTTATGTTTCATCATGAAGCTCATAACTTATAAGATATTCGGGTAAATCTTAAATCCATAGACCCAATAAAAATTATTCAAATTTGAACTTTTTGAAACTAATTTCTAAATAATTCAAATATAGTTTCACTTAAATTAATTTATATATAAAAAAATAGCTTACAAATATTAAAAAAAAAGTTATCTAAATATATTTATGCTAAATTTTTAGTTTGAATGATATTAATTAATTGAAAAAAAAAATTTCTAAAATCAACTCTGAGCCGCGCAAAAAAAGGTCAAGACTCGCGAGCTTATGGATTGATGGGCCTGAATATGTGAAATATAGCTTGGCCCATAATAAATCGGGCCCGTTAAATATAGAGTTCTTCTATGGGCTTAGTCCACGAGTAAAGAGTAATAAAATAAAAATAGAAGAGTATGTACGAAATTTGTATTTAATTTAATCTAGCATATGCTAGTCTAAGATTTCTGAAATATTGTATGATATCAAATGTGTTTATATTTTCATACCCAAATTGTACTAAAAAATTGTATGTATACTTTATCAAAAAAAAAAAAAATTGTATGTATATTTTATGTCGCATGTGTTAAATTTGGTATACAATTAAAAAGTAATTTGAGAAAATTTGTGTTAAATACAATACAAAATATTGATGTGAAGGATTATAACACGAATAAAATGGTAGAGAGGATGATTTAATCCCTAATATTTTGGATATTTTTCAATTTAATTTTGTTTATATTAAGCTTTTTTAATTTTGTCCCTCAGTGGTTGAAGAGACTTAAAATAGGGTGGTCTAATGCTAAACTTACGTGGCCTAATATGTAATGAATGTTGACCTTTTTTTATGAGCAAGATAATAAATTTTTTGGTTCGGTGATCTGATTTGAAAAACAATAATTTTTGTTGAGTTTTAATGCATTATTTGGATTGAGAAGTAGAAAAGATGACTATGACTAATGTTGTAACTCATTTTCGAGTGCAACTTGAAGTAGTACCTTGTATCTCCACAATAGTACGATATTGTCAACTTTGGACATAGTCATCATGACTTTGCTTTTGGTCTCACCCAAAAAGCTTCGTACGAATAGAAATAATTGTTTTTCTTGATATACTATGGATCACCCATTTTCCTAACCGACTTTGGTTGCACTCCTTACAGACCCAACACTAACAAGTTGTTTTTTTTTTCTTTTTAAATTGATAAATCTAAATGAATGAACCAATCCAAAAGATCGATTTGGTTCACTTCAACTTTCCAACTCGATCGATTTTCTTTTCCATAACGCAAGGTATTGGAAGTCATATTGGTTGATTTGAAAAACATAAAATTCTGGTTGAGAAACAGACAAAATTATTAGGACTAATGTTGTGTTTCGAAGTTTTAAAAAATATTTTTAACTCATAATCTTTTAATTGTAAATATGTGTTTGCTAAAACTCAAATAAAAGACAATGATTATAATAAAAACTTCTCTAGCCAAAGGACAAGCATAAAAACTAAAATTACAGTTTTAACTTGAATATTATCTCATAATATCATAACTTTAATTTTTTGTTTTTTTTTGTGTTTTCACCGTGGTTAGCAGTAAAATATTAAATTTCCATCGACATATCCAATTCAACATCGATATAAATAGTAAATTTATATTCATTACAAACAATCGATAAGATATTAAAAATATCAATAATATTTTGATCATTTAAAAAAAAATATCCATATGTGTTAAATTAATTATTGTTACGAAATTTTTTACTTTTATATTTTACCGAAATTTACATCGAAGTTAAAAACAAAAACCTTGGCTGGTAGGTACAGTAAAGCTTAAACTGTGAGGCGCACGCCGGACGTGTAAGCCGAAGTTCTCTCTCCCTCTCCGTCTCCGACGAAACGAACATTTATTTTACGCCCGCCCTACAAGATCGACGGCAACAAAATTCCCATGCCCTAATTTTCTCCGCCCGCGAAGAAATCGCACTCCCCGCTTTAAAATTCCTCCGATCCGCCATGGATTTTCCATTTCACCTCCCCCAATTTCTCTCGATCCAAATCCAAATTAGGGCTCGAAAACAGAATCAGCCATGGCCGTCGCGCCTCTCTCAATCACCGACGAAGACGTGGCGAAAGACGAGCCTCTGAAGCTCTTCTCTCCCAGCAATCCGACGCCGGAGGAGACGATCTTCCTGTCGAACATCGACTTGGCGGTGGCCTTCACCGTGGAGACCGTCTACTTCTTCGAGGTGGATCCGGCGGCTTCGGCGGCGGAGATCTCGAGGACCGTGGAGAGAGCGGTGGCGGTGCTGTTGGTTCCGTACTATTTCTTGGCCGGGCGGCTTCAGGTGAACCGGGAGAGCGGCCGGCTGGAGCTGGTTTGTAATAACGCCGGCGTTTTGTTTGTGAATGCGAAGACGAGAGTGACGTTGAAGGAGCTTGGGGATTTGGCTGCTCCGAATCCAAGCTTTTGCCATTTTGTTCATCGGCCTGGACTCCATAGAAGCCTCCCTGAAAGGGCTCTGTTTACCATTCAGGTATATGATGCAGATGAGAGAATTATCAAATTGTTATTTTAAATCATATTACAGTCATTACAATTGTACCCTAAATTAAAACTCTCACGAGTAAAAATTTAACCTTTGTACTTTCATAATTCATAAATAAATGAAAATTGAACTCCCGAACTTTAAAAGAACCGAATCTATTTGAATTTTGGATGTCGAAGGGGCAACTCTATTGACAAGGGCATAGGATCTTATGATTTTTTATTCGATTTGAGTAAGCGTAATACCAAAAACTTCCTGATATCTCTCGATCCGGACATTGAGATGGACGAGTTAAAAAATAATCGGTTTCGGATTATTAAAAAAATATATATTGAAAAGCACTTTTATTTTTTAAACTTATTTCAAACTCACTAGTAATCTATAAATTTTTCTTAAAAAATCATTTAAACATAAGCTTTTGAATGTGAATTCTATATGATTTTTATCGTTAATATTGATGGTTAAATGATGACTAATAAACAAAGTCGTTTGTTGTATAACTATTTGGTTTTTGATTATCCATTTTTAAAAATTAAGTTTAAAAACATAACTGCTAATTATATGTGTTTCTTTGTTTTAATATCTAATTTTAATTAAACGTTTTCAAACTCTCAGATAAATTTTAAAAACTAAAAAAAAAAGTAGTTGTTATAATCTTATTTTTATCTTTGAAATTTGTTTTAAGACTCAAATTTATTTTTTTTAGAAACATAAAAAATATACCAAATAAATAATAAAAATCGAGTATAATTTTAAAAAATAAATTTGAGTGGCGTCAATCCGATCATAGCTGAGTAGTTAAGGCACATGTATCTAACCTAAAGTAAAACACATTTGAATTATTTATATGAATTTTTTGTCAACTTAAGAAAGCATTTAATAGTCGCCCGAAAAATACTTTAGATTATTGTGATCTATTTTGTGGTGATCACTCTTGAACGTTAGACAATTAAGAGAAATAAATAAAAAATATAGATTTTTTTTAATTAATCAATTGCCATATCTTTATATCATTTTCTTATTGGTCTTGTATCTA